GACCACCACCTGAGGGGAGGCACAGGGATTTTGGCATGGTCCCTGATTCTACTGGCTGTCCCCTAGCCGGTAAGAGTCTGCTGATGTTCGTAGGGGGGGGGGGGGACCACCGCCTGAGGGGAGGCACAGGGATTGGTCCTGTTGGCATGGTCCCTGATGCTACCGGCTGTCCCCTTCCCCTAGCCTATATCGCCCACCTTCAGGTCGGGAGTAGCCCTCGCATGTTCTCTCATGAACACGGTTCTGGCTGCTACGGGGTTGAACGTCCCCGTATGGCTACAATTAGGAGTATTCAGCTTTCACGGGTGTAGATCTCGCCGACAAGTTTGGCGACAACCGTTTTTCACTTTTCTGCTGCTTCAGAACGGAGATCGTGGTAAGGGCCTCGCCACACCACGGTCGAAGCGAAAAACGTTCAAATCATACTTGCAAGCGCGCGGTTCCCTACGTGCGGCGCACATGCCCAACCGATCCCGTGTGGCGCACGACGTGTACGGGGAATGACCCGTCACCCCCCTCAGAAAGGAAAAACAGGTCGAGGTCGAAATGGTGCGTTTGAGGCGCCCCGCCAAAATTATAAGCGAGATGAAAAAAAAAATTACAGGAGTACTCCCTCACCTTCCTCCTCCTGCCCTTCTTCATCCTCCATGTCTCCTCCTCCCTTCTCCTTTTCATCTCCTCCGACTCGTCCTCCTCCTGCTCCTCCTTATCCTCCTTGTCTCCTCCTCCGTGTACTTCCTCATCTTCCATGCCTCGTCATCTCCTTCCCTTCCTCGTGTCCTCCCCTTCCTCTCTGTCCATGTCCCCTCCTCCCACTCGTCCTCCTCCTCCTGCCCTTCCTCTTTTCCCTCCGTCCATCTCTTCTCCTCCCCCCATCTTGACTCCTCATCGTCCTCGCTATCCTCGCCACCCTCCTCGTCCACATCCTCCTCCTCCTCTCGTCGCCATATCCCCATCTTCCTGTCATACGCCCCCCCGTTCCTCATCCCAGAAAAAGATAAAATAATAATAATAAAAATAAAAAACCTGCACGATTCCGCACAGGCACCCCCCGCACAGAACTCCACACGGAACTCCGCACGAATGTGCGGCTCGTGCGGTTGCAAGTATGGTTCAAATGCATGTTCCCACAGAAAGTGGCAAGATGCATCGGTTCCTATGAATAACAACAGATGCATCTGGCCACTTTTTGGGGAAGATATACTACCTTCTTCCCCCGAATACAACGTACGGTCATTATAGCTGTATTTGGGCTGCCATTCAGACTAAATACGGCTATGATGACCGTACGTTGTATTCGGGGGAAGAAGGTAGTGTTTTTTTTTTTTTTTTGACAGTGGTGTGGTGAGGCCCTACGTGCAACCGTGATGCCTTGATGCCTACGAGCCACGATTTCTCTTTATTTACACTCTCCACGCTTTCCCCACAGATTGTGGGCCTGGTTGCACTACTCTCCATTCGCCAAGTTCGGCGAGTAGGCGCCTTAGGGCCTCGCTGCACGGCACACGAAACGAAACAAAACGAATGTATCTTCCCACAGAAAATGGCCAGGTTCATCGGTTTGCTATAAATAGTAAGGAGTGTATTTTGGCACCTTTGGTGCGGGGAGACCCTTGGGCGCCTAGTTGCACTTACTCGCCAAACTCGGCGAATGAAAAATATGTCAGACTTCTCCCCACACCGTCTACACAAGTTGTGGCGAGTGTTTTCGATTTCGCTGCCTGTGCACGGCGGTTTGTGGAGTCGGACCTCTCCACAAAACAACTTTCTGGAGAGTGCACGGCTTCACGGCTTCACAAGTCGAGATCAGGCAGACAAAAAATTTGAACTTTTCTCCGTTTTCTGTAGAAGAAATATAATTGTGGCGAGTGTGTGCAACCACTGCCAACCAGGCCTCCAGTTCGACACGATTCTCATTTTTTTCACTCTCCACCCATCCGCCAGGCCTTCAGTTCGACACGATTCTCATTTTTTTCACTCTCCACGCATTCGCCGCGAATTGTGGCCGATGGCGAGTAGTGCAACTAGGCCCTGTGGCGGATTGCGAGTAGTGCAACTAGGCCCAAAGAAACGTGTTGTCCTTTTATCAGAAAAAAACAAAAAAGAAAAAAAAATGTGTAGTCCTTCAGGACATAAGTCAAAGGCCTCACTCTCACCACACTAGTCCCTGAATGCGCACAACGGAGGTTACGGAGCAAGTACATTGTACATACCACAAAAACATGGAAAGATACACCCGCCATAGGTTTTGTCTTTTTTTCACATTACCTGAGGAGTGTGGCAATTCCCTACTAGCAAAATGGGAACTATACAGGGCCTGGCCACACCAATGTAGAAACGAAAAAAGTACGAGTGCATCTTTCCCCAGAAAGTGGCAAGATGCACCCTTTACTATTCATAGTAAAGAACGCATCTGGCCACGCCCTGGGGTAAAAACATGCACTTGTACTTTGTTTTGTTTCGACAGTGGTGTGGCCAGGCCCACAGAGAAGAAGAAAGCGGAAGAAGAAATGGCTGCATAGAGGCCCCCAGGGCAAAAAACGAGAAAACAAAAAGGGGAGGCCCAGGATGTTTTTCGGGTCCTGGCCGCCCCTTGAAAAATAACTGGGTGATTTTTCAGTGTCTTTTCACCCCACCAGACAGGGCCTAGAGATCCGGACACAAGACAGTGCACTGTGCAGGTTTTTGGGCTGGCGGGTTTCACACAGGCCCAAGCAATTTCAAAGCGGCCGTTTCGACATGCCGCCCGCCACTGCTGCCCATTGGGGAGGGAGGGAGAGGGAGAGGGAGGGAGGGAGAGAGAGAGAGAGAGAGAGAGAGAGAGAGAGAGAGAGAGAGAGAGAGAACACTGACAGTGCTGCCAGTCTGAAGACTGACGTTCAGAATTGAACTGCAAAGTTTGAACCTTTTTTTTTTTTTTTTTTTAATAAGTTTGGACTTTTTTAAGTTATATGAAGTTATGAACTTAAATTACTTAATTCAAACTTCAAACTTCAAAGTTAGGGTCTCGTTAGACACTTCTAAAAGTGCCTGTTTTTAGGATTGCGTCTTGGTTGCACGCAACCCTAAATCCAATTTTGAGATCGAAAATGTGAAAACGGCGTTAGGACAAGTTTACTTAATTCAAACTTCAAACTTCAAAGTTAGGGTCTCGTTAGACACTTCTAAAAGTGCCTGTTTTTAGGATTGCGTCTTGGTTGCACGCAACCGTAAATCCAATTTTGAGATCGAAAATGTGAAAACGGCGTTAGGACAAGTCCTAAAGGATTTAGGAGTCCCCAGGTAAAATCGTCCTAAATTTTCCAGTAGCGCCCGACCATCTGAAAAATTTAGGATTCCCGCGTTTCACAGACTCGTTGCGTCACGCGCATGGCACCGTCGACATGGAGTTGCTGGTGCAGAAGCGGTCGGTCGGGTCAGTGGTCGGACATCGGAGGTTTTCTGCGGGTCGACGCGGGCAACGGCCATGAACGGTAACCGTTGGTGGGGATTGGACAGACATTGGCAGGAATGGATAGACATTGGCGACGCGGCTGCGTATACACATATGAAAACCGGCTGTGGGAGACCTTTTAGGACGAATCCTAAAAGATAATTTTTAGGATTGCGTGTAACAACACCGCACGAAATCCTAAAAATCCTTTAGGACTCGTCCTAAAAATTTTAGGATTCTTTTAGGAGTGTTTAACGAGACCCTTAATCTAACTTAATCATACTTTTTTCAAAAAAAATAAAAATTATTCTGTTTCTTTAGTCTTGTGCCTGCTTTGCACTGTTTACAACTCTGATGCATGTCTGCTAGTTGAATGTGCTTGTTGATTTGCTGCAAGACAGGTGCTCTGCTGCCTGAACTACAAAGTGCAAAGCAGGTGACTCAGGTGAGTGACCGCCCACACCCCCCCCCACACCCTCTCTCTTTTTTCCTTTTTTTTTCGGTCCGGACATTTTTGAGGGTCCGGTGATGTCCGGGTGTCCGCTGATGTCCGGATCACCGGACAGTCCGGACCGGTCCAGACACGAGTACGGAAGACAGTCCGGAAGTGTCCGGTGTCCGGGTCCGCGGTTACCATGATATTTTTTTTCAGTTTTATTTTTTATCTCCAGATCTGTTGAGAATATTGAAATGACCTGCAGCCAAAAGTTGTTGGCATTATTATAATCTACCACATACTTTTTTTCAGATTTTTTGGAGATAATTTTGTTTTTTTTGGGCCCCCGGCTATACTTAATCTGGTTTCATCCGAGTAGCAATATCCGGCCTGCAGATCCGGATAAATCAACAGCGCCCCGATAAATTAACATTTTTCGCGACTTTCTTTCTCTTTTGCGAGGATGATGTCTTCAGTTGAACATGGAAGATGTCAGTGTGAATTTTTGGTCACTTTCTTTTTCTTTTTTTTTCTTTTTTTTTTTGAAAAAGGCCAGTGTTTTGGGAGGGTGATAAAAATGGGACCGTCTCCGTACTTCTGGAGTTGGTGAAACCGAGCGGAACTGGCGTGATGCCTGTTGTTGTATCACTCTCTCCGTAAATGTGAATGCTCGGAAACGATTGTATGGATATATGAATGGATGGGCATGAGTATCAGAGTTGCTGTCATGGCTGGCTGCAGCCGCTGCCCCAGAAATTCTCTGTGCAAGCTCCGCACTCGCCTCCCCTGCGGATTCGATCGCCACTTTTGCAGTTGCTTGCGCAGACTCTGGCTCTATGATGCTTGGGGATCTCTGGCCCTGGTTACCAGTTGCCAGATCAGTGGTGGCCGTCGATTCGCCGCCGACAGGTGGATGGTTTGGATCGACTAATCCTGGAATGGCAGAAGGATGAAGCGAGGAATCGGATACGCCAGGAAGCGGATGGTTGGTATCAATTCCTGGAGCCGAACTTGAACCAGACGCCGACTGGAAGTCCACTCTGAGCCCTGCGATCCCTGGGACCTGAGTTTGAGATGGGCCCTCTCCTCCCGGGTGAGCTTTCGTGGATCCGGAAGTAACAGCGTTCGACGACCCTCCAGTCGCTCTCGGTCCCGATCCCATGCCACCACCCGATGTCTTATCTGCCTTATCATCCAGTAGGTTGCTGTCCTTTGCAATTACTGCAGGATCGGATTCGCTGGTTTTCATGTCGTTCGGCTCCGTGGAATTGCCAACTTGCTGAGGACCGGGACCACCATTGGCCTGTTCAGTTGGCTCTGTGACCGGCGGAGGTGGCGGTGGGGGAGGAAGCAATGGCTGTGGGTCGTAGACTGTCCTCGAGCTCTCCGTAAGCCTACCTCCCAGATCTTGAGGGCCAACGACAAGGAACCCCGCACTGCGCAGAGCATCGACAAGTGGCCTCCCTGCATAGTCGTCAAATCCATCGATGTAGACGATTACTTTGGTAGCGACAGGTTCAGGACCCTGCGGCACGGCGACAGCACTAGCTCCAGCAGCCGGTGCAGGCTGTCGACCAGCCAGCACACCACCTCCCCCACCTCCTGACACTGCGGAACCTGCAGGGTCAACACGGCCGTCCGACCGCCTGCGAGGGCTCTTGGCCCCCTCTACTGATTTCCCTTGGGCATGCCCCACACCCTTGCTGTTCGGAACCACTGCTTCTAATATGGGGCCCATATTAGAGGCCCTGGGACCAACCTGCAAGTGACGAACAGCCGGCGGCGGATTGGTGACCTAGAATATCATATGGCCAGAGGTCCAGAAATCCTTTGTTCCTTTCTTCCCTCAGCTGAGGCTTCCTTCCTCCTTTTTTTGCTTTGATTTGTGTCTATTAAACCCTTCCTCGTGGCCATCACCGTTCTTGCTTCCTTGTTCACTTCCTGGCCCGGGGCCCCTTCAAATCCCAAAAGTGATCTCTGCCGTCTATGAAATCTTGTTACGTGGCGATCAGCTTCACTCTCCACTGTCGATCGACTTTGCTTCACCCATGGTCTGCACCGTTTCTTTCTTACTTTTAAGTTTTAACTCTCCTCTCCCTTCCTGACCTCAGGCCTTCTGCTTCCCATTGACTTGACTTTCTTCATGGTTTCTGTCATTTATCTGTTGTTGTGCTTGCTATTATACCCCTTGGCACTTTCTGCCTTTAGGCGTTCTGCTTTCCATCAGCTTGGCTTCCTCTATGGTTCCTTCCATAATCCCATTTCTCTGTTGTGTTCCCCTTCTTCCCACACCTCTTGGCTCCTTTCCCCTCCACAGCGTTCTTCCTTAGTGCATGTTCACCCTCTTGGGCCTCTTCCCTCCCTCTGTGCATGCTATCCAATGAATCGGCCTACTTCATCCCTCCATCCCTCCATCCCTTCCTCCCTCCTTCCCGCTTCCCTCCTCCCTCCTCCCTCCTCCCTCCTCCCTCCTCCCTCCTCCCTCCTCTCTCCTCCACACTTTCTGCTTTCCCTCCTTCCTCAGCCTGCAATGTAATCCTTTTCACTCCCTCCATGCATCCAACCCTGTGCATCATGCTACCCCTTCCCTCCCTCCCTCTCTCCCTCCCTCCCTCCCTACCTACCTACGTACCTACCCACCTACCCACCTACCCACCCACCTTCCTCCCTTCCCTCCCTCCATTCCTTGCTCATTCTTCTTTCCCAGGAATTTATCCCCCATATCTCCCCCTCTTCCTCTGACCATCACTTGTTGCGGGCCTACCATTCATAACCAGGATCCATAGATGCAGAGAAACTTGCATTTAATTTACTGCAAGCCTGAGGATCTCTCATAGTACCAGGCTCCTCAATTTAGCACTGCAGCATTCACAAAAAATAGAGACAAAGGAAGTCAAGAATGGTAAATTGAACTGTTGAAATACAGACCTGAGTTCAACTCTGCTGGATGCAGATGAGTAAAATTACCTAGGGCCAGTCAGTTTGACTATGATATCTCAAGGCCATCGCCCTTTCGAAAAAGAAGGCTAAATTGAGAACAAGCGACAAGACGAGGTTGCAGCGAAAAGGTCACCTACAACAGCTGTGGTGAATCTATGCAAGGGAAAAGAAAACAATGGCACACACACACACACACACACACACACACA